ACAGAATAAAGTACCGCAAAAAGACGGTGGGCCATCAAGGAAGTGAATAGACATCATCGCTACGAAGAGCGCGCCGGCCGTCCGGCCCGCCTCGTCCGCCGCACTTAGCCCTTCACAAGCGAAAGGGTATTTCATTTAACACTTTGGAGACCGCGCGTGTTTTACGTTCCGCGGCCGCGCGGGACTTCGGTGAAATTTTTAGGGATCTTATCTAGCAAATTCAAAAGAAGAACCCACTGTATAATGCAGAAGAAATCTTATCGGATAAAATGGAAAAGAAAATGAATGAAAAACCTAATAATTGTTTCCGAAATGCGAGCTGAAAGGTCCTATGCGGTCGGAGGACTGCAGCCCACATATGGGCTGCGTGGGCTCCAAGGTGTAAAGCAGTTCCATTTCATGCATCTTATCTAATATTTCGCGAATTGTTAGGAACCATCAACAAAATGCTAAAAGACCTGTAAACAATGACCAGATAAAATTTCCAGACTGCATTCGAACAAGGAACAGCTTCACTGACGTTACATCGTATAATATGGGCTGATTCAAGCGATCCTGTAAGTTTGCAATCATTTCGTGTAATAACTTCAATATGGGAAACCTAGTGTTTTCAAAGGTGGTCTCGGGATAGCGAAGTGTTCTTCAAACGAACATCTCAATATTGTTCACTTGTCAAGGTTCTTATCCAGTAAGGGGAGGGACATGTGGTGCGACAGTTCTTTTTACCAGTAATCCATTTCTCGCATGGGAAGGATGCTCCGAGGTAAGTGTAAAGCGAAAGCAAAATTGCTCGCGCATCTCGGGTATTTCCTTTCTTTGCAAAAAGGGAGTATTTATAAGCGGCAGCAATTGCCGCACCATGCCTCTCTCACTGGATAAAATACTGTTCAAAAATTCTACTCAAAAGTTTCCGTAATAGTGTTGTATAGTATCTATTCGAAGGATCGCCGGCTTATCCTCCATCACTCTCTTGTGAAGTCTACGGAGAAACATCACAAATCGATGTTCAGTCGTGGAGGGAAGATTATCGTTCGTCTTGAACCAGCGCCGGCGAACAGTGTTGGACCGCAACGAACGAGCCCATTTAATTATATACGTCTCGTATTTCGAGCCGGTGGCGAAGAAGATGTGAGAATAATTGATTTCTGCACGCATTTCTCCCTTCAAAATTGCTTTTTTAGTTTCACAAAAAATACGAGGAAGCTCTGAAGCGAAAAACGTGGCAACGTTCAAGCTCAGGGTCAAGCTCGGGCGGAGTGAGTGATTTTTGAAAGTTCTTGATACACAGGATTCAACTTCAACTATGCTGCAGTTCCATTAATAAAAGATGCAGAGCGGGCGTGTCCATCTCTTGATTTTGCTAATCTGTTTGTTTGCGTACTATCAGCATAGAGATTTTCCTTCTATCCTGATCTTCCGTTAAAAGTCACTTGTCGAGATTGCTTTTGTTCATGGAAACTGCTGTAAATAGTAGAGTTGGAAAATCACTGCCGACGAGTCCATTGAGAAGATAAATCTGTAGCGCAGTGTGAAACAGGTGACTAGTTTGAACTGTGTTGGTGGAAACATTTTCACTTTTGGAATCAGGAAAGTTAGGCACATCTTTCAGTTACAGTTAGTAAAATATCAAGTGTGAGTTAGTCAGAATCAGTGCTCTCTATAAGACTTTCTATGCGCATTCTCTGAATTCGAGAGTATTTTTATTCTTTCAGTCGAGGACTAGCCAAGGTATTCAGATGCGGCCTGTAGGTATCGCTGGCCTCGAAAAGCGTTTGGCGGAAAATCATCAGCGAACGCATGAGACTATCAGTCAGGTAATTTTTGCAAACACTTCTTCTCCTTCATTCTTTTCTTTTCATTTACGTCTTTGCAGGAGACTCAACCCTTTTGTTTATTTTATTTTTCCTTATTTTCGGCTAGGCTACTGAAATTAAGTTGTGTGGTATTTTCATCTTCCTTACTTATCTCTGTCAAGCGCATAGACGGTTCCCTCCACTTTGCTTATGAAGTTTGCATCTCAGGAGGTACCATAAATTAGGCCGTTTGCGAACCTCATGGTCGTTGTGGCGGAAAGCACCTCGAGGCGCACAGTAAACAATAGCAGAGAAGGTGACAGTCTTCCGTGGTGCGGTCATACTTCGCGACTGCGTTGTCCAAGTGTGGAGTAGACACCTACTGGTCATGCGGTAGCGTTCCATATCTACCTATTTTGCACTACGGCTGCAAAATTGTCTCAAAGTATGACCGCACCATAGCTATGTCATGGGAATAATATGGAATATGGAAGAATTTCCAAGTCAGTTCCTGCATAATATTTTTGGGGAAGATTTGCAAGATATTGTTGGGCGTTGTCGAGCTAAATCGCATTTCACTTTTAGACCCTTCATATGGACTTTATGTCCTCAGCATTTCTTTTGTGGCTGTAGCCAATTTCTAACAGCCACGTTTTACTTGTAAAAGTGTACTCGAGCCCACCTCGGCCTTTCAACTTCGTGTCTAGAACGAATTCGTCAGTGAAAGCCGGGTTGTCTTGAGTAGAGATAATCATTTTGAGCGGCTCTTTTTGTAGTAAAGCGCTGCGTATGTGCCGTTGATATTTGTGGCGGCTATAGTTGCAACTTTTGCATGAATTGTATTTGAATAGCGGGATTTATGAAAAAACCTGGTCCTTGCGACTTGAAGCGCTATTTCTGCCAGCTTCCTGTAAAGTACCGAAAAGTGTGTTGCCGTGTTTATTTCAGAATTCGATAGAGTAAGTGCAATGCCGACTACGGTATGTAGTGCGGCAGGAATGTGAAAAAGCGCACGAACATGTCTGGACGAAGCTGATGTTGCCGGGCTAAAATGTGTGATTCTCACAGTGACGAATCAATCACTCACATAGCATTGCGGTCATGGGAACTGTATTATGTTGAACTATATTTAGGCCTTTGAAGACATGTCTCGTTTGATGGAAACTGCTCGCGATATGGTCAATCTTTCAAAGAGTATTTCCGAGAAGCTCCGCTCTAGAAGAGGTGAAATAACGGAAGACGAGGTATTCAGAAGAATTCGCCGATTGTTTTCCTAGAATAGCTATTCCGCTTGGATTATCATGAATGTTGTATTCTTAGCGCATCTGTTATCTGCTACTTGTTTTATTTTCTGTTTTTTTTTTCAGACTATTGCGTTCAAATCATATTTGCTATCTCTCGGTGTCTCGGATCCTGTAACTAAATCGGTTTATGGCAGCGGAGCAGTCTATTTTGAGAAGCTCGGTGATGAATTACGTACAGTACTTCTTGAACCGTTAAAGGTACATCTTACAGAACTGTGGTCTGTTTTTTCAAGACAGCTTCTTCGATAATCACTGGTTTTTCAGTTGTGTTAATAAGTAGTAGTCAAAGTAGGGCACAAGATATGTAGTAGGCAATATCCGTGGTATATAATTTTATGTGGGTTTTTAAGGAATGTGGAGGAATGATGACTCTTGCCGGAGGTGTTCTGTAGAGTAAATCGTGCAAGAGGTTTGGAACTGCTCTCACCAGAAGATCTTCTGAATGCATGTCAAGCACTGAGCAGGCGACCAGATTCGCCTATGGAGTAAGTGTTTGGAAGAAACGAGATTTTAACAGAAAAACAGAGTTTTCTGGATACGAAGAAGATCTAACCAATCACATTATCGATGTTTACTTCAGGTTACATCGTTTCGCGACAGGAGTAATAGTACTGCAATTGAAAACGGCATCTATAGATAGTATGGTGGAAGCAACGACAGAGTATGTTAAAATGAACGGAAGTGCAACTGCGAGTGAATTGGCTGCTAGCCACGGCATTACTGTTATATTAGCGAAAGAACGGTGAGTCTTCACCTTGAAAACTTTACTCTCGTTGCCAGAATCAAAGCAGCAACCTCAGATAAGATCGTATGGACCAACAATTTATTCTCAGGGTTCGATGTAGTAGTCCGCGAGCATCATAGATGTGCTGCTGCCACGGTTCGAAGTGCGACGACAGTGGCGTTTACAAAGTGAGCTGAAAACACCCAATGAAAGCTAAGAGAGATACCTCCCACACACCCTTTTCACGTAACGTGGATGGCAACAAAACGAATACTTTGAATACGCGCGGGATAGCGGAGCCCGAACAAGCAAGTTCAGACAAGTCGTCCGATGGTCTGTAAGCGACCGTCCCTGAAAAGAGGGGAGTCTTTTAACATATTGACGACATCGCGTGTTTTGACTTTGAAGCCGCATAGGACCTTTGCAGGCACCACTGTATCATAACCGTGGATTTTGAGCTGCAAACAACGCAAAATTTCGTGCGGCAAAATGTTCCCATTGATGAATCTGTTCATCTTATCATGACTTGCAGTAGTGGAAGTCGACCAAAATCACATGTTATGGCTAGGAGAAAGCAAATTTTGCTTACTTTGTTTTGATGGTTCCGCATTCATTTTGAACGTGGTTGTTGCACAAAAAAATATTTGTTGTCATGTGATTAGGTTTGTATTCGCTTCTGTTTCTCTTTTCCGTCTACGTGTTTCGTTTAATGAAAGAAAACAGGAATAAACAGAAACTGATGTTCTTAGTAAGGTCTGGAAAACCCTTGCTGAACCATAAAATATTTGGTCATTTTCCAAGGCACGCGGTTTTCGGTCATTTCGATGTGTGCCCTATGGAACGAACGCAAAATAATTTGGGCAGAAGTCGGGCATGTGTGAATAAACTAGATATAGTGGTTGTTACATACATGGCTGCACAAATGTCCGACGTGGTGTGTAAATGGCGGCAAACATAGTGGCCGCGCTGTCGTCAATTGTTAAGGGACTTAATGAACGTTCGCTTTACTTCTTTTTTTCATTTTAAGTTCACTCGTCATCCACAATTTCATTAGCAACCGCTGTTACCCCACCATTATGATCTGGGGTTGTTGCTTTAGGCTTTTTCTTACTTTGTGCCAACCAGTTGTTGAGTCATTATAAGGAAGTATGCTGCCAGTGCTTTATCGAAAACCTCCTACCTCGAGTTTTCCTCACAGAAATTCTGTTACAATGTTTTTTTTTCAGATTACTTGCTGCTGAAGAACAGGCGAAAACTTTGTCGTGACGATTCTACGGAAGGTTTGAAATTCTATCCAAATCGCTTTCTTATTGATGTCTAGACGTGAGATGCCCATTGACTTTGTAGCAAGGCTCAGAGCCTATGATTTCCCCATGCATCGTCTCATTGTGATTTCATGACTAGTGAATTGAGGTGTTCCGTTTTGCTGTTTTCTAGTCGCCGATGGAATCTCCTATTCATCATTTTGTTGTTTACATATTAGGCCAGATGGAGACATAAGAAATCTGTTAGCATTCCTGATCCTATTACTTTCCGCGATATACTTAGATTGTCTTATGTGAGTTTCAATGGTGTTCCTTGACTGTTAGAAATGCGCCCGTAGATCTCGCTTACCATGTGGACTGTGATTCTGTGAGCCAAAAACAGATTGGACTAAGCACATTGCACTGCTGCTACAAATGAAGACTTGCTCATAGCGTTCTGTTTTAATCTGCCTTCGGTCATTTTCCGAGTTCATTACTTTTGATATTTGCTTTCGACACACCTCTGTTGCATGTATGGTTATATTTTTGTCGGTTGTGTTTTGTCTGCTATTTCAGTAATCGAGTAAATGGAAAAAGAAGGACCGCCTGGCGTGGATGTCGAGCAACCACCGCCTGCGCAGCCCAAACATGACGCTACACAACCGGTAGCAGGTATTTTTCTTCTCGAATAGTAATAATTCAGCACTTCTCTTATGGACCACTGCTAAGAATTTTCTTCAAAAAGGATCTACTAAAAGAATAAGAACTGACGCGTTTTTGCAACCGTTATCATAAATGAATGACTCCAATTTGTTAGATTGAATTTCGAAATCTGCTTCCATTCCTGACACAGGAACTCAGTCACTCAAACTCTGTTGCGATTTCCTCTAGCCATTACATAGATTCAAGACGGATCTGATATGGTGATGCTTTGAGGGCTCCTCTCGCTCAGTAACGCTTATGCTGAACCGGCAACGTTAGACTTAAGAAAATTAAATTGTTTGCCAAGATAAAGCTATTCGCTCATGCTCAATTGAACAAATGAATCCGAAGAGGTCGTTTCAGATCCGCTCGCTGACTCTGGAGATGATGATGACGACGACGATGTTGAAGTGACGATTGGTGTGATACCGCCTGTAAATGTGCAATACAGTCTTGTGAGTAACGTTAAAAATACAGTAGCTTCTGATGTGGTTTACATTCAAACTAAAAAGAAGTTATGTCAAGCCGCAGGTTTCTCAAGCTCACTTCGAGCCTGAGCGCTGATTTAGATCTAGTGGAGTTAGTTTCCCGAAATTTTGTTTGGAATTTTGTTTGCTTCACGGTCCATCATATCAATGGTAACGTCACTGAAATGGTGGACCATGAAGCAAACATTGTTGTTTTTCAAAAATGTTCTCGTGGTTTCAGAAAGGTTCCCTGGATGTGAACGGTGATGTAAGTCAAACAGGCAAGCTCGATATCGATGCTGTTCCAATGATCAACGACAAGCCTATCTATGATATTGATCTTGCACAAATGGAGGATCGCCCATGGCGAAAACCTGGAGCAGACATTACTGACTTACTTCAATTATGGATTTACAGAAGGCATCCTTCGGAACTTATTTTCCTAGCAGTAATCTCTGGCTACTTTTCCATAGTCTCATGTAATAAATTTCAAGATACATGGAATACGTACTGTGAGCGGCAAAAGAAATTAAGACAGGAATATGGAAATCAGGCAGCAGCCAACAAAGCCTTGTTCTCATCGATTAACCTTGCCAACCCGCTTGGAATGCCTCGTGAGTGAGAAATATTCATTTGTTGGTTTGTGTCTTTCTTTGTTTTTCCGTATTTATATATTTTTTTGGTCCACTTACAAAGTGTGTTGCTTTTTCAGCAACTGGAGGCCGACAGTTGGTACCGCTGACTGAGGGAGCTGTTAAGGTTTTGACCGACAACGGTGGGAAGTTCAAGCCACATTACCACAAACTTGCTACAGATACATCGGAGGTGAACGTTTTAATCTTAAGCAGTGGCTCAGTGGTTCAGTAGAAGAGTTACTTGGTAGTGTATTGGACTGTTTATATCGGATATAATTCACCAGTAACGGCAAACAATATTGAAATTTGTCGTATAACACAAGGTATTTTAAACGAAGTTTTATTAAGCCAATTATGAGAACGGTTATTGCTGGTCCACAACCATCAAATGCTCCAACCGGACCCCCTGGAGTGGTACGTATTCATTAGCATTTTCTTCTTTTCTTTGTCATGTCAGTTGTTTGTTCTGAGCTCAAATTAGGAACAAATCGCCGCTAATGGAGTAATATTTTACAGACACCAGCTCCTGCTCCTGTCGTTGATTTCAGTAAACCTCCACCAGGATTGCCGCCTACTGCGCCGCCTCCTACACAGACAGTACCACCAATTCATATTATGGGTACGAAGTTGAAGACGAAGAGTTGCAGTAATAGTTAGTTATTGGTGACTTTGTAGATGGTCCTCCCGGTGTCGATATAATTGGGCCGCCCGGAGTTGATGGTCCACCAGGAGTCGATTTGGAACCACAAACAATACCCACCCTAGGGTCGGGAAGTGGACTGGATTTGTCAATGCCTCCTCCAGGGTGAGCTATTTCTGTTCACTTTCTCAACGTCTTAACATCCTCTCTTCAAAATTTTTGAACGTTTACGCTACCAATGTCTTTTTTTTCAAGCTTGAATCCCTAGTTGTGGTTTTTAAAATCCACTGAATTGATTGAGAAATTGTTTGGCGGTAGCCTTCCAATCACATTTTGACTTACAGCTATGCGCGATTTGCTGCCAATTAAAGACTGACACCTTCCATAGCCGGACATGGAGCTCTTCTTCAGCACAGGCGATCTAGGCACACTGTACGGCTCTATTTCCAGATTTAATCCGTCACTGCCTCCTCCAGGCATGCGACCACCTCAGATGGCGATGCCTATGACAAACATGCCGCCACCTGGCTTTAATTCTATGCTACCTCCACCAGGATTTGCTCAGAATCGATACTCTTCAAGTACACCTGGTGAGTAGTCTGAAATACTTTAAATATTGAATTGATTTTTTCATTTGCTGTTAGTTCAAGAAATTAGCTTTCAGCTCTTCTCCTCCTGAAGACAAAATTTCTGGCTTGTTCCAATATAAGAGAATTCTTATTTTAGGGTTGGGTCGACCTCCTCCGTTGATGGGACGAGATTTCGACCCACTGTTGAAAAGAGAGCCGTCTGATTTTGATGAGAGGTGATTTCCTTTCTCTTGAAATGCTCTCTTGTCTTTTCTTCGTATAATGTTCTATTTGCATTGCAGTGAGGACGACCGGAGGCGGCACAAGAGGCGCAGTCGATCAAGAAGTCCTTCCAAGCGTGATTCGAGGTAAGTTTACAGGAGCACTGCCTTAACCAGGGAGTACTAATCCGAGTAATCTTTTAAATTTTGCGATGCCTTGCTATTTTGTTAACATTTTTATTTTTTATAAGGATAAAGGATAAAGCATTTGCCGTTGATCAATCCCTTTTTGGGATGCGGCACGCATTCTACTTCCATTTGTACATTCGTAGTGGCGTTTGAATGCGATGTGGCCTATACTTGCGGGGGCCAGCCGATGTACAAGTCAGTGTTTTTATCCTCCCAGACAAGTCTGGTACCAATTAGGGATGGAAGGCTTGGTTGGCCCGGGCGACTCACGACCCAGGATTTGATCCCCGGACCGCTCGCGTGGTAAGCGTGCCACTTGCCACTACACCACTTCCGCCCTTATTTCTTACTAATACAAAGGATTACTTCATGCAGTGCTCTGTAATATAAAAGCAGTGGCAACCTTCCTTCCTTTCAATCAGTACTGCCCATTATGATTGGAAGTGAGGCCGCATTAAATTGTTCTGATACTCACAAGGGAGGTCGTTCAGGGTGTGCCAAGCTTTTTCAAAATGGTTTCTTGCATGACATTGGGGCACATATGGGACCACAGAGACAACACTCCTTACCAGCGAAGGCTCTCAGCTTCCCATGGAACTTTCGATGGAGGCCCAGGCAAATTGTTGGAGTATAGAACACTATTCACAAATACGAAGACCAAAACTGCGCAAATATTCTACTAAAGTGGAGTGATGAGAATACACAAAAACTGCAGAAAAAAAAGAGTTGCGGAACCACTATCGCCAGATGGCCCGCGCACCTCAAAAATGCTTGTCATATTTGTGAACAGGCCAGCTTTAGGTGATTTATCTCTTTTCTAATATTGCTATTCAGACGAAGTCGCGACACTGGACGAGATCGTGAACGTGATGAACGGCGTGAACGCGAAAAAGAACGTGACAAGGAGAGGGAAAAAGATCGTGACAAAGATCGAGACAAGGAGCGCGACCGTGAGAGGGAAAGGGAACGTGAACGAACAGAACGCTCCGAGCGAAGCACTAGGCGGCATCGTTCAAGAAGCGGTAGCGCTGAAGGTAGCTTAATAAATTTGCAATGTTATACGGAAGAAAGTGGCCTTCAAAGTGATGTTTACTTTTGCTCGTCTTTACAGTTGGCTTTCGCACATGATTTGGCTGAAAGCACATTTTCATGAAATTTGGACAAAATGTGATCATTATGGGTGTAGACTGTTATAGGTTATACTCAGGTTTTGCAGGTCGCAAACGTCGTGATGATCGTGATAAGGATAAGAAGCGTGAAAGACGGGATGAAGATGGTGATAGGAAGAGAAGGTAATGGATATTTTCTCTACGGCTTCCCAGGGAGTGCGGGAAAAATGAAAGGGCAATGAATGTTTTTTTTTTTGAAGGCGACACGATAAGGAGAAGGACAAGGACGACGATGGAGATCGGCGAGACAGACGAAGCGACGATCGCGACCGGCGGGAAAAGCGATCGCGACGCGATGACCGTGGCGAAAAAGAGGACAAGGAAGATCGCGAGAAAGAAAGAGACAAGGAAAAGGATAAGGAAGGACCGTGATCGCGACAGCCGGCCATTAGTAGAGGTGAAACAAGAGGAACCTGAGATGGGTGGTGACGAACCGCCTCCACCTGGAGTAGACGTGGAAATGAGCACGTAGAGTGATGCTTACTGTGTTTGATTTGAATATGGTTGTTTTCAAATGATTGTCTACAACATGGAGTTTATTCGTTTAATGCCTCATTTTGTGGTTCCATCCGTGAAAATATGTGTTTCTATTGTGAAGACCCTAAACTCATGAGTCCCAAATACTGGTCCGTGTCAAGACTCTCATCGTGTAAATCTTACCTTGGGAATAAGATCTAAAAGGCATCGTGGAGTTCGTCATAAGTGTTCGAAGTCCGAGGTTATGTTCCGATCCTGCATTTCTATCCCTTCCATTTTCTTATGCGTGCTTCTGCTACCCATTTTGTTTAGAGGACAATAATAAAGTGTCAGTATGTTTTGTTATTGATTGAAGTCAAATTTAGCATCGTTTCTTAAAGGCAAGATTCAGGATTAAATTGATGAGGTAATTCCACTCAAATGTGAAAGTAGGGGTAGGAGGTGGACCGCCAGTGGAGAAAAAAGGAAAGAAAATCGTGAAATACACAGGAAATACGAGCCTTTTGCTCTACGCTGCGGAGAAGTTCAAAAGGCCGGCAGGGAGATGAGAGATAATGTGAGCGCGGAGAGCGCTAGAGAAGTCCGAGTAGAGAGAGCATAGCAGATCAAAGCGACGCAGACAAGATATCGAGCGGTGGGCGGAGCGTGTCGCAACAGGTGGAGCGTGTCAAAGTTCTTAGCGCCTAGCGTCTAAGTAACGCTTTTCGAAGTAGGGAAGTGACGCGACCTCTGCACTTGCGTACCTAGCGCTTCTAGCCACCGTAAAGGCTCATTAAGTGGGTCTGAGCCCGAACTTTGCCTTTAAAGACATCATATCTTATGATGGAAATGCAGCCCATTGGAATTCGATTGGAGATGATCAGTGATGCACGGGAGAGCCCGCTACTTTCGAACAGTGTCACGTGACAGTGGACCCTTTTTGAAAGTGGCGGGACTTGACAGTGGACACTGTTTGAAAGTGGCGGGCTTCCTTTGAACGTTGGGTCCCGCCACTATTGAGTCGCTGGTACATAGTTCGACTCGCTGGTACATCGTTCGACTCGCTGGTGCAAAGTTCGATTCGCTGGTGCAACGTTCGATTCGCTAGCGAACGCTCGATTCGCAAACTATGACATCGGCCTTACGCTCTCTCGCTAACGGCGATAGAGACACGATAAGACGCGAGAGGGGGACGCACCGCGCTAATGCACTCCAATCGCGCCGCGGGGAAGGCTAGATGGGGAGCGTATCCTTTGATGCTGATTGCATTTCAGTTCGCAACCTTTGGAGGTCCGCCTGTCTTTCCATTGAGTAAGTTTCCTCTTCTTCGACCTATCCTTCAAGGTACACTATAGCGTAACGTTGGTGTGGAAGAGCGCTCAATAATGAAGGTGAAGGTGCATGGTTGAATGAAAATTTTACAGGGTTAAGCTTTCTGTGAGGACGGCCGTGATATAAGTGAGAAGCTACCGTACTCAGCGAAGCGAGAATACGCGGAAGGACACGCTGTAGAAGGCACAGCTACACGGCTCCCTTCGCGGACGATAGGAAAACCACCTATAGCCACTAGTCGGGTGCCTTAACTATGTTATATAGTTGCCTTTACTGCCCACTCTCGCGCCGCGCAAACAACGCATCGGTGGCCTTGGCCGACAGCTTCATCTTCTCACTACAGACTACTCCAGTGGTCTCATCCTTATGGTTAGACGTGCCTGGAATGCTCCACGGAAAAATCATGATTCTCTCTCCCCATAAGTCACTGGCTTGACACCCATCATTCACGACGAAAAAAGAACTAAATTTGCGTGTGCGCTCAAATTACCACCGTACATCTATAATATTACAAATGATTTCCACGCAAACGGTGCACTCGGTTCACGGCGTGGGTTGTGTGGCGTACGGAGGGATTCCGTTAGCCTTGGCATTTGCAGGCACAGGCAGTAGGACCCACATCGTACCGCGACTGTACAACCGTTCACGCACCACATCTCCGTTGTCTTAGCATTAAACCAAAACAAGCTATCCGCTTTTTTCTAAACGGTTAATGTTTAGCCAGATTTTTGGGCAGCTTATGAGACTGACTTGCTGACATCTGAAAGTTGAACGATACGAACGAGTTGTGCGGCCACAGCAGGAGGTGGCAATTACGTCTTGTGTGCTCTAAAGCCAATGTGGTTGGTCCAAATGACCGCCTCTCT